TGATTATATTTCTCCAGTAGCATTATACTAAGGAGATTACAGCTGACTATAGCATCAGACGTTGATGTTAGTATCATCATTTAAAGCTGAAGATGAGTTCATGAGGCCTCAGTGGCAAATCAGTGAACAGTAGCCTAAAACAGCTACAAGTCACTGCGACCAATGTCACTGAACCCACTGCAGTCTCAGAACCATACTTTACTTTAATGATGAGCTATTCAATCTTCTGAATCAATTAACTAAATTAAACCCTAATAAATCTGATGACTGATTTGATACATTTATTATTTAATCAAGATGTATTCCATGGGCCTCAGTGTTTATATATCAGTGACCAGTTACCTGAAGAAACTTCAAGTTATATCTGATGTCACTGATCTCACTGCAGTCCCTGAATCATACTTGACTGTAGTACTTGATCACATTCAGTCTTCTGGGTTAAATAATATGTAATTAGGCTTGAATATTAGCCTTTCAAGAGTTGACAGGGAAATGAAATCGCATTAGACTTCTAACCCCTGCAACTCTAGTACGGGACATCCGTCCTGTACGAACAGACGCACAAATGTGTGATTACTAACTACTAACATCAAATTAATCTAATAATTCGAAGGAGGAGTATCGGTGTTCGTCTGTTCTAATTAGGACTTCGACCCGTGAGCAGCCCCCTGGGGAATTATGTCGGAAAATCCGACAGCATTTAATATATCATACAGACAGATAAGAGCTGTGTTGTATAAGCAAGTTACCCATAGAAAACGTAACTTGTAGTGGAATTACCGTCTAAAGAAAACGGGATATCATCACCACATACTATTATAATTCACCACCTATTATGGTGGGAATTATTCTTAAATACATTAGTCTTTGGACTTTACCATCATAAAAACATCTTATATAAATTAACTTAATTATCAATATTAAAGTAGAGTAAATGTGACCCTTCTATCACTTTCTGAAATCTGGACAATGTAAGCCAGGCGTCAGTGGAGGAGGGAGGGCAGCCATTGTTGTTTATATGAGACCAGAGGCTCACACGGGAGCAAATTCGGCTCCTGTTAAATTTACTTGGACGTAGTGTTATGGAACCCAAAGGTGTACCATTGTCAACACGCTGTCTACAAATACAAGTTAAGTGTCTATCCGAAACCCGTTTATCATTCATTTATGGCCATTAATGTCAGGATATAGGGTTAGCCGGTTAGAACGCGAAATCGCCTCATACTAAAGGTAATTAAGCCAGGTCTTTCATGTTCCATGTACTGTATACAGTTTTCTCTGAAATACTTGTCATATATAGGTTTCTGGCTTCACAGCTAGCGCACTTTTGACAGGTCAAGACGAGGATGCAAGATTATGTGCACCAGTTACTGGGTGATAGAAGCTACCTCAAAGAGGATAATTTGGTGTCTACACTCTAGTTATACCTGGTGGACTAGCCTGCTGTACTATAAGAGAAGGAACCTCATCAATGTATGTAGCTATTACTGTAATTTGATTGGCTGCATATGTGTAATATAAACCCCCCCTAATGTGTAGAGGATCGATTTGTGAGATTATGAGATTATTGCAGAAATACAGTCCACTTATCATTATACAAATTGCTATCGAAGTATATAAATTAACGTAAATATAAATTCATATAAATTAAATAAATATAAATCTCACAGGTCGGTTCCCACAAATCCCTAAGCCACGTTGTTGTGTTCCTAGTTCACAGAACACACAGCTAATCCCTAGTTATTGTGTTTTCGATCACAACAACATGACTCTAATCTTCCAAGAAACAGAATAGTACGCTCCGACGCTGTCTCAATAAGTGTCCGTGGCACAGTGGTAAAACACTCTCCCGGCGATTCGCGTGCGCTTGGGCCTGGGTTCGTATCCTGACCTGGGAGGATTTACTTGATGCCAATCCTTAACTGTGGCATCTGTTCACCCAGCAGCGAATGGGTACCTGGTTGTTAATTAAACGATTTGGCGAGTCGTAATCCGGGAAAAATTAGGATTAAGGAACTTGCCAGAAACTCTGTGCGTGCTAGTGGCTGTACAAGACTGTAAGAACTCTTGAATATATGTAAAATTTATTGTATATTTATATAAACAAATAAAACAGTATCAAGCCCCATTTCTGAACAAGAATCAAAGCTAAAATGCTGAACAATTGTCCTTGGAAGCAGAAACACGCTACGCTCCTGATCAAATAATGTAGTAATGCACCTGACTTTGTCCCAGGAATACAGAAATAAGAACTAAGTCTGCTCCAGAAGTACAGTAGCAAGAAATATCTGCACTAGATAGATGATAATAAAACCCTGCTGTATCCGCGCCGGGAAAAAACTTGCCCCAACTCTACCCAAACTGAAGTAACGTGCCCCAACTGGAACTAAGTTCCAATGTGTCAATTCAACCCAAGCTCAAAGTAAAATGCCCTAATTCTATTCAAACTCAAAAGTACATTGCCGCAACTCTAAACTGAAAAGTAGCATTCCCAAATTTTACCCACGCTCCAAGTACCCAGTTCCAGTTCTACTCATGTTCATAAATGACACGCCCCATTATCTACCCACACTGAAAAGTAACACGCCCAAGTACCATCAAAGCTCAAACTTATATACTTCAGTTCTACCCAAACTCTAACTAGCGTAGCCAAATTCTACCCAAGCTCAAACTAGCGTAGCCAAGCTCTAACCAAGGTCACAAAAGACATGCCCCATATCTACCCACAATGAAAAGGAATTTATCCCAACTCTACCCAAGCTCAAAATGAGTATACCCATTACTGTTCAAGATGAAATGTAACATACCCTAACCTCAACCCAAGCTGAGAAGTAACATGCTTCTATTTTACCCAATTCTTACCTAATTTACCTAATTATAATTGAGTATAACATGCTCTAGCCATACCCACTCTCGAAAGTAGCCCACACTCGACCTGTGCCCAAGCTCAAAATGTTCCACGCCCGGATATGACTTGTGGTGAAAGATAACATGCTCTAATTCTACACAAGCTGACATCAATATGACCCACCTCGATACAAGCTGAAAAATAACTTAAGCCAACTTTACCTAAGCTCAAACGTAACATATCCCAACTTTATCTAAGTTAAAAATCAATACATCCCAACTTTACCTAAGCTCAAAAACAACATATCCCTATTTTACCTCAGCTCAATAGTAACATATCCCAACTGTGCAAGAGGATCAGATTAGCTGCCTCAGCAATGCAGCCAAATTACTGGTCACTATCTCTGCAACACTATTACTTACAACTATTACTTAACTGTGAATCAAGTGCATAGTTGCATTATTTGGTAGTATTACCCAACAGTGAATCAGGAACCCAGTTCCTTTACCAAACTGCAAATCAGGAACACAGTTGAATTATCTAACTGTGTTTTAATCGAACATTAGCATGACTTGTCTGCATAGCCCTCAATGCTATGATCACAACTGACACTTGAGAGAGAGAGAGAGAGAGAGAGAGAGAGAGAGAGAGAGAGAGAGAGAGAGAGAGAGAGAGAGAGAGAGAGAGAGAGAGAGAGAGAGAGAGAGAGAGAGAGAGAGAGAGAGAGAGAGAGAGAGAGAGAGAGAGAGAGAGAGAGAGAGAGAGAGAGAGAGAGAGAGAGAGAGAGGAGAGAGAGAGAGAGAGAGAGAGAGAGAGAGAGAGAGAGAGAGAGAGAGAGAGAGAGAGATCATCTCAGATATATCCCCCACATTCTCAGTCGTCCCAGTTAAAGTGTAAATTTTATTTATTGTAAATTTTATGAGACCCCTCTGGAATATTTTGTTATGTGAATCAAAATTATTATTATTATTATTATTATTATTATTATTAGAGATATTATAGCTATAATAATTATTATTATTATAATTAGAATAATTATTGTTAGTATAGTTATTATGTGAGGAGACATTACCAATATATTATTATTATTATTATTATTATCTAGAGATTCCTTAGCCCTATATCTAAAATTACTTATGCTACACATTTTAGTATTAATTTATATTATAAATTTTAATATTTACTTATAATACATACCAGGCAAACACACAACTCAACCTTATTATTTTCCGTTATTTCAACGTTAGTAATGATTTAATATACGTAAAAATGACGTTTAGGTTACAGGTTACATCATAGCAATTTATACCCAGGGCTCGCAACAACTTCGAGCAACGTTTAATAAACGTTGAATAAACGTTTATCCAACTATGATCCCGAGTTGTGTTAACGTCTGTTTATGTTATTACGAACGTTACATTACAAACGTTTGATTATTGTAATGACAAGAAACCGTTAACAGTTTGATGATGTTGACGCAGCGTAGATCAAACGTTTCATATGAGCATAGTTAAGTAGCTCGATTATGAGTATTTCATAAGGTTATGAGAACTATACCAAAATATGAGGAGACGACGACGTTTCGGTCCGTCCTGGACCATTATCATGTCGATTGTGATAATGGTCGACTCGACTGATGATGTTGGTCCAGGACGGACCGAAACGTCGATGAAAGAGAGAAGTTTCTCTCTCTCCTCCAGGGTCGTCGTCGTCGTCGTATCCTCATCTGGGGCCAGATTCACGAAGTATTTACGCAAGTACTTACGAACGTGTACATCTTTCCTCAATCTTTGACGGCTTTGGTTACATTTATTAAACAGTTTACAAGCATGAAAACTTCCCAATCAACTGTTGTTATTGTTATAAACAGCCTCCTAGTGCTTCGGAGCTCATTAACTGTTTAATAATTGTAAACAAAGTCGCCAAAGATCGAGAAAAGATGTTTAGGCTCGTAAGTACTTGCGTAACTGCTTCGTGAATCACGCCCAGCTGGTGTGTGGGTTGAGTTCTCATAGTTGAGGTTTGGTTGAGTGTTAGCTGGGGATGGAGAGTATTCATAATGGAGTGATATGTAACGCTGGGGCACTTTGCTTCTCCCCTCCTCCTTCTCTCTCCCCTCTCTCTCCCCTCTCTCTCCTTCTCTCCCCCGTAGTGCGTCCGCTGCTCACCAGGCTGGAGGATCCCCCAAAATCATTAAGGGTCGGGAAGGAGTACCATATATCCTGCCTCGTTGCCGGATCTCGCCCCCACCCCAACATTACCTGGACACTTGGCAACGTCGCGTCTCATAGCCCCATTTTAGCTGAGGTAAGTAATATTAATTATCAATATTTTATTTATATATATAAATATATATATTTTTTCTGGTAATTATGTGTGTAAACCTGAGTTTCCATTGCAGTACTTTCTGCAATATTTGCAACAGAAAATCTTTTGGTTTACTATCTTGGTTTATCTGGTTTACTATCTGGTTGTTTTTTCCTGTTGAAGCCAAAGTATATTGACAGGAGACGACGGGCGTCCCTCAGACGGTCATTACCACCGCCCGGGAGACATTCTGGAGTGACTTAAGGAGGAACACCTTTTATTTTTTGGTGGATCTTCAAGTAGGTTTATTTTTTTTTTGGGGGGGGGTGGTTTGGTAGCCGAGAAGATATGGTCTCTGGCAAGTACGCATGAACACCCAGGTTCGAATCCAGTATGAATCGGGAAGGGACAGTGTTGAGCATTAAAACTATTTTATCTGCTATCAGAATAATGTTATTTTATTGTATTTCGTTTATATATTCTAGAGTTCTTGCGTGCTTGTATAGCCACTAGCACGCGTAGCTGTTTCGGGCAGGTCCGTAATGTTAAGTTCTCCCGAAATACGATCCGCCAAATCGTTTAACAAACAAGTAACCATTCACTGCTGGGTGAAGACATTCACTGCTGGGTGAAGACATTCACTGCTGGGTGAAGACATTCACTGCTGGGTGAAGACATTCACTGCTGGGTGAAGACATTCACTGCTGGGTGAAGACATTCACTGCTGGGTGAAGACATTCACTGCTGGGTGAAGACATTCACTGCTGGGTGAAGACATTCACTGCTGGGTGAAGACATTCACTGCTGGGTGAAGACATTCACTGCTGGGTGAAGACATTCACTGCTGGGTGAACACATTCACTGATGGGTGAACACATTCACTGATGGGTGAACACATTCACTGCTGGGTGAACACATTCACTGCTGGGTGAACACATTCACTGATGTGTGAACACATTCACTGATGGGTGAACACATTCACTGAACACATTCACTGCTGGGTGTGAACACATTCACTGATGGGTGAACACATTCATTCACTGCTGGGTGAACACATTCACTGCTGGGTGAACACATTCACTGCTGGGTGAACACATTCACTGCTGGGTGAACACATTCACTGCTGGGTGAACACATTCACTGCTGGGTGAACACATTCACTGCTGGGTGAACACATTCACTGCTGGGTGAACACCTTCACTGATGGGTGACCAGAATATCTCTAATGTCTTTATGTAATGCTAATTGGTAGCAATATTCGACCAACTGCAAGTGATAACGTAATTTGTTCTGATCCTTTCCTCCATCCTCCTAACCCAGCTCTCCTCCTGTCCTCATAACCCCACCTTCCTCCTGTCCTCATAACCCCACCTTCCTCCTGTCCTCATAACCCCACCTTCCTCCTGTCCTCATAACCCCACCTTCCTCCTGTCCTCATAACCCCACCTTCCTCCTGTCCTCATAACCCCACCTTCCTCCTGTCCTCATAACCCCACCTTCCTCCTGTCCTCATAACCCCACCTTCCTCCTGTCCTCATAACCCCACCTTCCTCCTGTCCTCATAACCCCACCTTCCTCCTGTCCTCATAACCCCACCTTCCTCCTGTCCTCATAACCCCACCTTCCTCCTGTCCTCATAACCCCACCTTCCTCCTGTCCTCATAGCCCCACCTTCCTCCTGTCCTCATAACCTCACCTTCCTCCTGTCCTCATAACCCCACCTTCCTCCTGTCCTCATAACCCCACCTTCCTCCTGCCCTCATAACCCCACCTTCCTCCTGTCCTCATAACCTCACCTTCCTCCTGTCCTCATAACCCCACCTTCCTCCTGTCCTCATAACCCCACCTTCCTCCTGCCCTCCTTGCACTTCCATGTCCTATATTGTCATAACGGATTAGCGCTCGCTCCTGATAACAATTACTTATCATTAATATTTACATTGACGTGTGATAGTGGCTCCAGGACCTGTGTAGGTGGAGACTTGTTACGCTCTAGAGCCGGTGGAGGTCTAGAGCCTGTGTTCTCACCTAGTTGTGGTTGCGGCGGTTGAGCTCTGGCTCTTTGGTCCCGCCTCTCAACTCTCAATCAACTGTTGTACAGATTCCTGAGCTTATTGAGCTCTAGGTGTAGTTAAGGGCATGTGAAGCTCTAGACCATTTGTGGTTCATGGGACTTTGGAGGTATGGGCTTAATTGCCCTTATGACGTTTGGGAGCCTTAGAGGGTAAGGGTCTTTTGAAGCCTTCATTCTAAACTGTCCTCATCCTGATCCCTCCACTCTGTTCCCCCTCGCTTTGTCCCGCATTCTGTTCACCTCTCCCCCTTGCCCTGTCTCCCCCCTTGCTTTGTCACCCGCTCCCTCTATCCACCTTCACTCTATCTTGAGGATCTATTGTTTTCCCCAATCCATTCTCACCACAAAGTTGTTTATCCACCCCCCCCCCCCTGCAGCTGGACCTCTCTCCATCTCTGCTTCTTCCCTGCTATATCCCAGTTCTAACCCACCCCCACCCTGCCTCCCACACTTCAACCTGCCTCTCCCTAACTCTCACAATCTATATCGTTATACATCCACAAAAGATACGTGTCTCTGAATTGACATTAACCCATGACAGAGGAGAGCAAACATTGCATGGAAGATGATGGGAACAAAATCGGGAGCAGGAGAAAATCTCAACGAAGATAATGGACAAAGCAAAAAATCTTTATTCCTAAGAAGAGGGAACACATGACGAAGCAAATAAAGAGGCAGAGGGAGGACACTGACCAAAGGAGGAATCAGGTGATAATGATGATGAACGATAAGTTCAAGAGGCAGGTTGAGGATTTAGGTGAGAAATTTAGAAGTAAAAATTACCAAAATTACAGAAGAAATACAGAATTTCAAAATCAGGGAGGTGGTAACCGAGCAATACAGTTCAGGAGAGAACAGTGAAGCAAGAGGTGGATGGCTAAAGTTTTTGGCATGTGGAAATTGAGAAAATGAGAGTACTTTGGGAGAAAACAAATTCAGGAACTAGATGCAAAATGGGTTAAAAATAAGAAAATTGGAAGATGATCTGAGCTAACCTCAAACGAAGAAGGCAATGAGAAAGGATAGCCTGTGGCACGAGTGACCAGCAACAACTGAAGTTACAGTTGAATTTCTGAACCCTTTGAATGACACCACGTGGGCCCAAGTTGTCAATTGCCACAGTGAAGTCGAAAAAAAGATGATTGCTATTACTCTTCAAACAATGCAATATCACAATCAATTCACAGTCGATGAAAGAACAGCAAAAGAGGATAATTCTAAAAGGAGAGAATGATAATCATTCAGGTACTACGTGTGTAAAGCAGAAGTAACCAAGGCGCAAATCATATGTAGTTAGATAGATAATATATCGCATAGCTCTTGAGAGGTCTACACCTTGGAGAGGCTGAATGTAATTTGATAGAAATGAACAAATTGGGGTCGTATACTGTAGCCCGAGAAAACAGTAAACGTCGATCACTGAAACAGATATTTATGAATAAAGCAACTCCAAGAATCCTACTGAATCGAAAAGAACAGAGTTCTCAAAGCATTAAGGGGATTTAAAAGGGTCTACTCTCAAAATGAGATGAGCAAGAAGCAATTATAATCATAGAACAAAGATGGGGCAGGGTACAGAGACGGAATGAAAGGGGGGGGAGGGGATAGTAGGCAAGAAGAAAGGGAGATGAAACACAAAACTCTCTCTCTCTCTCTCTCTCTCACACACACACACACACACACACACACACACACACACACACACACACACACACACACACACACACACACACACACACACACACACACACACACACACACACACACAAACACACACACACACACAGAAGCAAAATAAGAATCCATGGTTTAATAGAGCATGTATGGAAGCAAAGGAACTGAACAAAAGAGCATAGAGGAACTTCCGAAATAACAGAACACCAGACAGTAGAAAGAAATATCAGAGAACCAAGAACGAGTATGTTGGTGTGAGAAGAGATACTTCAATACTCAGCATGGGTATTGAAAGAGTGTGCAGAAGCGATTTGCTTGCCACTCTCCATAGTGTATAGTAGGTCACTGGAAACGGGAGACCTACCAGAAATATGGAAGACGGCTAATGTGGTCTCAATATACAAAAAGGGTGACAGACAAGAGGCACTGAACTACAGCCCAGTGTCCTTAACAATACCATGCAAGGTGATGGAGAAGAGCGTGAGAAAAAACCTAGTAACACATCTGGAAAGAAGGGATTTCGTGACAACCCATCAACATGGGTTCAGGGATGGCAAGTCCAGCCTCACATGGTTAATTGAATTCTACGACCAGGCAACAAAAATCAGGAAAGAAAGAGAGGGATGGGCAGACTGCATATTTTTTTATTGCAAGAAAGCTTTTGACACAGTACCACACAAGAGGCTAGTGAAAAAGCTGGAGATGCAGGCTGGAGTGAAAGAGAAGGTACTCCATTGGATAAGGGAGTACCTAAGCAACAGAAGACAACGAGTAACTGTGATGGGTGAGGTCTCAGATTGGCGAGACGTCACCAGTGGAGTCCCGCAGGGGGTCAGTCCTTGGACTTATACTGTTTTTCATGCATGTAAATGATCTCCCAGAGGGTATAGACTCGTTTCTCTCAATGTTTGCTGATGATGCAAAACTTATGAGGAGGACTGAAAGAGAGGATGATAGTAAGAGACTGCAAGATGATCTAGACAGACTGAACGAATGGTCTAACAAATGCCTGCTAAAGTTCAACCCGAGTAAATGCAAAGTAATGAAACTAGGCGGTAGCAACAGGAGGCCAGATACAGGATATAGAATAGTAGATGAAGTACCTCATGAAACGGATAGAGAGAAAGATCTAGGAATTGATATCACACCAAACCTGTCTCCTGAAGCCCACATAAAAATAATTACGTCCGCTGAATATGCATGGCTGGCTAACATCAGAACAGCCTTCAGGAACCTGTGTAAGGAATCATTC